TTCCCAAAAAAGATATCTTTCCTTTATTCCTAGATTTTTCAAATCATATCGGTGTAATCCTCTAATAAATAGTTTGTACCTCAAATTCTTTCATTCTATAAACTTTGAATACCAATCTCAAACATTGAAGCCCTCTGCACGAAGGAAAATACGATAAGCCTCTATCCATTTTGCACAAGCTTTTTTACCATGCTCAACGATGCATTCGTCTCTGAGCTTCTTCGTCTCAGGGCAAGCACAGCAAATTTTCTTCTTTGGCTTTGATTCTGCACCAGATTTTTTTTGCTGACCCTTGATTTTGTTGCAAGACAAGCAAAGCTAAGGCAGAGGTATTTTGATTAGGTAACCCACTGTCATAATCTATAAATTCATAAATATATAGTTAAACCTAACAAATAGAGTCGTCACTAAATGTAGTTGATCACTTAAAGAATCTATTATTTTAAGGAGTTTATAAGTTTGACTAAAGGTTTTTAAAAAAATAAATTCAGGTCTACTGACCAAAATAAGGTTAGGAGTTCGGTTACATATAGGAAATGTTATAGCACCTCCCATACCCATCCAAAAAAAGTACTATTTTATTTTAATTTATCATAAAGTCTTGATTCTAATGATTTTATGTTTTTATGTTTTTATGTTGAATATTGAAAATAATTTTTAAGATTTTTCAATCAATCTGACAGAATTTTTAAAAATACATCATCACTTTAAAAGTATTCAAGAATCTCATTTGATATATTAAAGAGGCTCCGTCATCGAAAAAAGTTTTTTTATTTTGATTTGATTTTTATTTGAAAATATATCTAATTATTACACCATTTGTGTCAAATTAAAAATATTTTTTCTTTTGAATTTATAAATTTTTTACCATTTGGGCCTATTTAGAATTTTTTTTTTTAGAGAAATAATATGACAATTATTTTTCTTAAAATTTCATTTAAATTCTTCTACTATTTGATATAAATTTAAAAAAATTTCTCACCTAAAAATTTCTTGGGAATTTACCATTTGAAATTTTTAAGAATCTCATTCTTGGATAATTATCAAATACTTTCAACCAAATTTGGAAAAGAATACAATTACTTTTATTGAAATTTTATTTAAATTATTCCACAATTTGGATAAATTTAGAAAAAATTTCTCACAGAGAAAATTTCTCACATAGAGAATTCTTAGAAATTTACTGTTTGAAATTTTTAAGAATCTCATCCTTGAGTAATTTGTATTGAATTCCAAAATTTTTATTTAAAATTTTTTTATTTTTTTTATTTTTTTATTTTTTTTGTTTGAAAATAAATATTAATAATTGTTATTGAAATTTTATCTAAATTATTCTACCATTTAGGACAAATTTAGACAAAATTTTTCATTTAAAAATTTTATAAAAATTTATCATTTGAAATTTTTATAAATTACATCATTGGATAATTAATACTTATTCTCAAAAAATATTTTATTTTTTCTATTATTTATGTATTTCTTTTAATTTTCTCCTAAAATCCAAACATGCAAGCTATTTCAAAAATAAATTAATAAATAAAAATGAAAATGAAAACAGAGAGAAAATATCAAAAAAAAAAAAAATCGGTTCGGTTTAGTGGGTGTTACAGCTATACAAGGATTAGGAGATTGAAAACTTATATGTAAGGCTATACTTTGTTCTCATAAAATCTTCCAAGGTTGAGATCGAACACTTCAATTAGACTATCCCTCAACACATAGCCCCAAATCATATAGCAAATTCTGAAGCCCCAATTTCTTCTCAGCATGGAAGTTGAAGCTTTTTAATATTTGGTTTGCCATGGCCCGATGAGGCATAACATGATCAAATACTCCAGTTGTATGATCATTCATTGACTCGTCATCAAAGGATACGTATGCTCATGCCGTGAAATCCATAAATCTTTGCACTTCCTTGACGAAACAAGGGTTCGTACTGCATATTTTGTTGGGGGAGGGTTGAGAATCTTTTCACGAAGTGGATCATGCAGATTGCTTATTCAACAACTTTCCCTTTATCTGATGTGAAATAAGCAAACTTATTGTAAGTTCTTATTTAAAAAAAAAAAAAAGGAAAAAAAATATGAAATGAGCTAAAACATTAAGAGAATGTTGGATAGCTACAACAAAATGGAAGAGAAAATATTTACCTTCTAAGAGAAGTAGGTGCATATATTTCCTATCTTCTTGAATTGCCACGAACAACAATCAAATGCAACAATGAGCAGACAAGAATTCTTGTAATCCACAACCATTTTAAGATTGCTAAGAGAAAAACTTTGAAATCTAGCATCTTCTCATCCTACAAATTTTGTCCATGTTCAATATTAATGGCCAGAAATTGTGTTTATATAGGCAGTGCAAAATAAATGCACAAATTTTTAAGACTAAAAGTATAATTATTCCAAAGATTTTTTTCAAAATAACTTACGATGTTTAGAGATTTTTACAAGATTACTTATGAAATATGACAATTACCTTAAAGATTTTTACAATGATCATAATTTTAGAAGATTTTGTTAGATAACTTATGAAATATTCCTTTTATGCATTTTTACACTTTTTAAATATATATTATTAAAATTTTTAAATTAAAAAATTCTATAATTAAGATACTATTTTATATTTTTTTAATAGGTCGTATTAGATTTGGGTTGAGCTCATACATGGTTTTAATAGCTTATATGTTTGTCTAAGCCCAACTTGAAATTTCAGGTTTCAAAATTTTTTCAAGTTTAGTCTAAATTAAAAAAATAAATCTCAAACTCACCCATTAAACTTAATTTATATAATAAAAATTTAAAAAGTGTGATTAAATTAAGTTTAATAGAATTATATTTAATTCACATATACAAAAATTAAAAATTAAAATTATATGTAAAAATTAAAATTGAATTAAATTAAATATATATAATTTTTGTTTTTATTTTTTATATAAATGTGAATTAATTTATATATAATTCATATATACATATATATATATAAATAAATAAATTTATATATATGTGAATTTGGGACAAACCAAACTTAAGTTTTAATCCAAAGTCTAATTCAAATTTAAACGGACTTAAAAATTATGCTCAAACTTATTTAACGAGTTTTAATTTTTTGTTTAGACTCTCAAAATTTAAACGAACTTTCGAGCTTGAGCGAATAATCCAACTCTTGAACAAGTCTAGTCATATTGTGACTAATTAACTGACTTTCTCTTGAAGTTTTTTTTATTCATTTGATATGAAAATTTATAGTGCTTTTTTTAAGGTTAAAAACCCAAGCTTCTAAAGTTCTACTTACCATTATTTCATGGAAAACATTTGCTTACTTTAACATATAATTATTAGATAAAGATAATAGAACACTACAACAAAAAATTAATACCACACCAAATGATGATTGACAATATTGTCACCTTTCATAATATAGAAATGCACAAATATATGGCTTACTCTTATATAAGAACATGCCTTTGGATAACAAATTTTAAAAAATTTTGATATAAAAACATTTTAAAATACATCAATTCACAATATTAATCGATACTAGTGTTCTGATGCATGTTTGTATTAACCTATTTTTTAAATAAAGCTTTTTTATCTTTTTTTTTTTCCTACCCAACTGTCTTTTCACTTTTTTAGATTGATTTCACCTATCTTTTCAAGAATAAAGAATTTATATATAACTTTTTTCTTTAGTAATGAGCCAAGGAGAAATTCTCCTTCGGTCTTTTCCAAAGGAAATGCCTAACATTTGGATGGTCAATATATAAGGGTATTTGTGCCTAATATATACATGTTGGAATACTAGTGAGCCACATTTTAAAAGCAAATAGAAACTGAAAAAAAAAATGCATGACCTCAATGGGAGTTTTGAGATAATACTCCATTTATTTATATATTTATTATCTAAAAAATAAAATTGATATGACGAGAGACTATATGTATATATATATATATATATATATATATATATAAATGAGGAAGAATCAATTTTTATAATGTAATTCTTTTTTAATTTTAAATATTTATCGATCCCTCCATACATCTATATATATATATATATATATATATATATTAAGAATGTAACTTTTTGTCTACAAGATTGATATTTGTTATGATCCTAATATCATATTTGTAATTAAGACCATGATAAGTGCTAAAAATGCCAATGCTCAGAATCAATTACATTTAATTTTACAAAGTAAAACCCCTTTTTACCATCTTTTTCCCTAGTTTTGGTTTATCAAGTGTTTCAAAGCATCAAGAAATTTCCTAACTATCTTGAAACGAAATTCTCCTTGGAGAATCTGAAGTAAATCTCTCCATATTCCCTTATTAAAGATTTATTGTAGAACTATTATATTCTTTCAACTTGTTGATTGAGGACAAGATTAGACTTAATAATTTTAAATATGATATAATAATATAATATAAAAATAATATGAAAAAAATGCGAATGCAATATAGTTTAAAATTAACAAAAATCATATATAAATTTGATAAAAATAAAAATATATATTTTATATTTAATGTATCAACATAAATTATAATATAATAATTTTATATTTTATATATATTTAATAAGATATAATACGAACATATAAGTTAATAAATTTTATAAAGATAGATATCTATACTTGTATATATGCCATCTCTTCTTCAAAAACGAGAAATGATATTGACACCAGAGGAGGATAGCAAGCCAAGGCCCTCCATTATCAAGATTCCTTCCGACTCTTCCTCGAGAGGCGTGCTTTTCTCTCATGCCTAAGCCCCCCATGCACGAAACGGTACCCTCTCCCTTCCTACCTCCTCCATCTATAAATACATGATCATGCAAAGCTTTGGAGATATAGCAATCCATTGCAAGCTGTAACAACTTTAGAAACTCAAAAAACCTTCAGCTCTCAGTTCTCACGTTCAAAAACTTTCCAAGTTCACCATGTCTGACAAGTGCGGCAACTGTGACTGCGCTGACAAGAGCCAGTGCGTGTAAGTAATCGATAGTCCATCCATGATAAACTTCCATTTAGGGTTGTGCGTGGCTTGAGATTATGTTATTGTTTTAAGTTACGTTCATTTCTGCCATGATGCCGTCAGGCTGAACAAAAACTTTTCAATAGCAGCCATTTTATCTTTTCCTAACATGTTTCCTCAGGGACAACCTGTGGAAACTCGAAGTAATTGTTATCTTTAAGGTCTTTGTGAGTTTGCAATCAAGTATCATTGAAACTAAAGGCTTTTTTCTGCTTTTCTATGCTTACAGGAAGAAGGGAAACACCTTGGTCATTGAGACTGAGAAGAGGTATACTTTCTGCACATACACTCTGATATCTGCGAAGAAACAAACCAATAATAAACATAAAATTTCATTTATGCTACTAAGACCTGAGCCATTCCTTAGATTTTCAAACAAGCAATCAGAAACTTCTTGATCTGATTCATGATTTTCTACATACATATTCTCCTAAGTACTTATCTAGAAAGGCAAAAAGAAATATGTTTTTCGCAGTCGATGAATTGAGAATTAAGAAACTTAATTTGAAGCATACAAATGCTAATTATAATCTGTATTGTGTTCTTTCTGTGCAGCTACATCAACTCTGTTGTCGTTGAGACTCCAGCTGAGAATGATGGCAAGTGCAAGTGCGGTGCTAGCTGCAGCTGCACAAACTGCACATGTGGTGGTCATTAAGCAAACATAAAATAATATTGTTGTAGCTCATGGCGATATCATGACCTAAAAAATAATGAAATTTAGGTTGAATGATTTGTCTTTTTTTGTCTGTCTGTCATATATTTGTGTCTCCTTATATACTGTGATCATGTAACGGTCATGTCCATGGACTCGTCTAGGTAATGAATAACTCTTTAGTATAACTCCTCTACTTTGATCTTTCTTTGACACCGGCTGTGTGCAAGGTAAAGGTAAAGTTGCAGTTTGATTATATTCTGGGACTTGAACTGGAATTTATTCTCTTGGACTAGAAACAGCTAAACCAAGGGTTAAGAGAATAGCTCAATCCTGAAAATTATTTTCATTATTTTTGTGCTCTGATCAACCAGAGATCAATATATTCTACAAAGGGATACAGTCCAGACATAAAGATCAAAAGAAACTGAGAATCACAATAATGTTCACCATTCGGCTTCCATTATCAATTAAATTGTCATCAAGTTGCCATCTTTCCACTAAATTTACACAATTTTCTTTGCTCAAAATTTTGACCAATATAAGTTACACAACAACACACAAGTAATAAAAGATAAAAAAGGGCAAAATGTTTACTCAAGGAACCAAGACATACAGAGTTCTGTCTCTGTCCATATCCTGACTCATGAAAGTATTCTGGCAGTTCCAATTCATTCCACAGAGGTAAACAACCTCATAAAAACAAAGAATATGAGAAAAATGAATAGTTGGCATGCATCCAACACCAATTTCCAAGAAAAAATATCTTTCCTTTATTCCTAGATTTTTCAAATCATATCTGTGTAATCCTCTAATAAATTTTGTACCTCAAATTCTTTTCATTCTATAAACTTTGAATACCAATCTCAAACATTGAAGCCCTCTGCACGAAGGCAAATACGATGAGCCTCAATCCATTTTGCACAAGCTTTTTCACCATGCTCCACAATGCATTCGTCTCTGAGCTTCTTTGTCTCAGGGCAAGCACAGCAAATTTTCTTCTTTGGCTTTGATTCAGCACCAGTTGTTGTTTTTACTGACTCCTGATTTTGTTGCAAGCCAGGCAAAGCTAAGGCAGAGGTATTTTGCGTAGGCAGCCCACCCATTATCTCAGTTAGTAAGTGAATCTAAGACACTGTGAGAGAAATAGAGAGAAGAGATGCCAGAAAACGGATCAGAAAAAACAGAATCAAAACTTATACCCATTAAGCATAATGAAGAAATTTCATCATAAAGGTAAAGAAAATCAAGATAGGCTATGATATCAGGAATCATATGACAACAATAAACTGCAGCTAATGTCTATTGCTTTTCCTCTTTGACCATTCAAATACTAATATCAGTACATTTACATTGTACAATATCCAATTTGATCAAATATTGCGAAAGCAAATGGACAACAACCACAATAATAGTCTATCTAGTATGATATCTATCTTTATAAAACCTACTCAAAACAGCCAGACAAGTGAATAGAATGTTGGAACTTGGTATTATCACTCAAAATGAAAACTGGAAAAAGAAAAAGTGCTAGAGAAGTTTAAATGGAAATACCAAATTTACCAACATATAGGCCTATTGAACAAATTATACTTCTCTAATATTCTCGATACTGATCAAAAGTTCAGAAAGAATATCTCGAATACAAGACTAGAAAAAAACAATTATAAAACTAAAGAAGATAAAGAGCAGGCAAAGGTCACCAAAACACACTCATATTTATCTCTCACAGGTCAAATAAACTTCAGAAAACAAATAATAACACCACAAAGGCTTACGACATAAGTTTTGAATCATTACTTGGTGAAAGAAAAACATAAAGACCTGAAACCAATTCTCTCAATCAGTGTGTCTGATGAACACAAGGTTGTATAAGAGTCAATCAAACAGTTCAACTGAAAACCAATAATAATAACATAAATGATGAGCAGATAACAGTGCCAAAACAAATCAATATTCAATTTGATAATTGAAACTTGCTAGTCAAAGGGACCAGCTCAAACAAACTAGACAAATTCTTCCCACAACCTCAAAATTTTCGCTTGAGCAGTTTAGAAGCACATAGCTACCGGTAATTGAAACTAAATTACAAGTTTTCTTCTTTGTACATTAGCATTTCAAACAGTCCTATCAAGTAACAGCTAGCCAACCGCAACAGCATTGGTATATCGTTTCATTTCACTTAAAGCTAAACCTTTTTTGGAAGATCCAAACTCCAAAGCAAAGGCCAAAGGTCTTGACATCTAGTCTCGCTTCCAATTCATTCTCAAAGACGAAACAACCCATCAACAAATTTACTTTTCACAATTTAATTTATTTAACTTTTAGCTCTCCACCATCTCCCCCCCCCCCCCCCAAAAAAAAAAACCCAGAAAAGAAAATAGAATCATAAGACAAGTTCCACCAGTTTTCTCTACAGTTTAGTCCAAAAGCATAGCCAATTTTCATCAGGAAAAGAAAAAGAAGCCAGAATTCATCAGAACAACAACAACCCAGATAGAAAATAACATGAATCAATCAAATTAACACTTGGAAATAATAAATTTTGAATCTTTATTGCTACAAGTTTTTTACTATAAAAGATTCTTTTTTTTCCTTTTTTTTTTGTTTACTATGTTGGCTTAAGCTTTTGCTCCTAGGAAATCAAGAAATATGTAGAAAGAAAGAAATAATCAATAAATAAATCTTGAAAAAAAGAACTTACAGTTGAATTTTAAGCAGAGGGGGATGCAGAGTCGGCAGCCGGTGATGGGGATTTTAGAGGTTTTATGGAAAGACTGCGAAGAAAAAAAAATGACACCTTTCAAATTTTCGATGGTTTAGAGCCGGCCAAGTTGAAATCGGGTCGGGCCAAACCTTTTTATTCTTTTGGTTTTATTTAAAGGAGTTTTACATTTTTGCCATCAAGAAAGCTGAAATTAATAACAAGCCTTTTTCTCTTTTGAAAATCGATTATTAGAATTTTCAAAACAGAAAATTGATTCTTACAAGGTTTGAACATGTTTGAAGCCTTTGCCACACATCTCCTTGATTACCAAAAGCAATGAAAAATAATTGTTTTTTGTTATCAATTTGTAAACATTCTATGTAAATAGCTTGCAACAGGATTGAATCTGATCTGAAACTCAATAAAAAAGGCTTGTAAGAAAGAAGTTTCATTTCATGAGATTTCCAAACCTTTTAAAGCCAATGTTTCTGATTAATGCAGAAACAGAACCCTCAAAGCTCCCTGAATGTTGCAGGGCAAAGGATATTTTAGCTTCCTCAATTCATGACAAGTTTAAAGCAATCAATAAAAAGTACGTAGAATCTTAAACAAAAAGTTTCAGTTTTTGTAAATTTGTGTCGTTTGTTCAAAATGAAATCAGTTGGGTCGATCAACTAGCCATTTCTTACTTTGACATGTTGATCAAATAGGCAACAAGAACAGCTTGATACAACAAAATACAGCAATTGCTTGCATTTTTTATTGTTTTTTTAGCAAAAATTATATGGAAATTTATTACATTGATCCAGGGCACCCAAAATCAGGGTTAGAAGGTAAAAGCATATTCACACTTCCAGAATGAGAGCAAACATGCCACCCTCATGTCAGATTCCTTTTCACTTAGCTTTGAACTTAAGCATGTTCAAGATCCTGAGCAAGATCCAAGCAGTTTGCAAATTCCTTAGAACTCCATCGGTTCTCCCTAGACAACTTTCTTGGGCTTCAAGATTGACATTTCAGTTTGGACTAAAATTCCAGAAATCCAACTTTTTGGCTGAACAAACAGTTTTGCATCAGTTCTTGTTCAAATTCCTGTCAACAAAATTCCCTTTTGCCAAAATCCCATGTTCTCTTTCTTTTCAACCTAACTAATCATACTTCTCCCTCCATGAATATACAAGAAGGAACACCCAGGACAGCGCCAAGGCGATATGCCCAAGAGCTTGTCTTGGCCATTCATGAGCACGATCCTCAAGCTTTCCATCAAAAGAAACTCTCCAAATAGCCGTTGAAACATGAAGAAGTACACAACCTTTAGAAAAGAAACTTTGAAACTCTCTATCTTTAACAAATGCCACCATGAACAATACAAAACCAATAGTGAATAAAAGCAATCCAGAAAATGAATTAGAGGTTTGGATCAAGAGTTGATCATGGGGTGTTGAACCTTGTAGCTTACTTGCAATGTCATGACCGTGACCAAAAACTGAGATTTCCTTGGTGTAAAACATCATTAAAGCTCCAGAAATAATAGCAACTAGGGAATGGAGCATACAGATAATGAAGAACCCAGGCAAGCTCATTGATCAAAGAAACTAACGGAAACTTTTATCTTCCAATTTAACCAAAACTGAGCTTCAAACAATAGCATAGCTAAGCCTCTAAGGTCTAGACCATACCTTCAAGACAAGTGAATATAACCTGTAATATATGATACTTATTGCACTCGACTCGCACATTTGCTTCAGCTGTTGTTGCGTGATCTCCCTAATCAATAACAGGATTTGAATTTCAAATAAAAAAAGAAAGAGAAAGATGAAAGCCTGGATCCAAAGCCCTGACCCCAGAGCTAAGCTGGGAATTTGGAGGCAGAAACTGAAAGGAGTTTATAAAAGGAAGAGTTTATAATGGAAGAGGCAAAAGGAGTTTATAACTTGGGAATAGCAGTAATGGGAAATCAAGCCAGCTGTATGAAAGAATATAATTCACTATTTTATAGGAGACCGCTTCCTTCCATACCAACCATGCACAAAATGCCATGCTTTTCTTGTTTACTTCCTCATTCTGCAAAGCAACTCAAAACATTTGTGGGGTATGGAGTTATCGATGAATATTATTTTTCCTTTTTTTTTTCCCTTGTTTCTTTCAACTAATTAATGATTTTCTTTCAGACAATAATTTTTGAGATATCTTTGCTATATATGGAATTAAACCTCGTAGGGACAAAACCTTAGACATTTTTTTGGTATTTTTGACCAAACCTAACAAATCTCCTTACCCAGAAAAAAGTACTTTAATGCCTTGAATTGTGGAGATGTTGGTTGATTTGTCATCATTTAGAAAGTAACGGGTCACCATGCAAGGGACATTGGCTTACCTGGAACTAGTTGTCAAATCCTGTCATTTTTATTTCATTACAAATCAATGGAGTCACCCTTCATAATTTCATGAAATAATAAAACATAATCAAAGTTTACCTCATAATATCTTTTTAATTTCATTAAGGAAATCCAAAAAGATACCTTGAGCCCCTCAAAGAGGCATATATCCGAACACCAAGCCAAAATCTTGATTCTCATTATTATCATCCAATTAGTGAAAAGCTTTTGTGTTTTATTGTTAATTTTAACAAAATAATCATAACACATCACCCACGTAATTCACTGCAAAGAAATCCAAATTGCTTCTTTTTTTATCAAATTGCTTTTGATTGGCTGAAGAGTGGTTTGCATTCTTTTCCACATTCAAAGCACTTTTCCTTTGTTATATAGACCAACCAAATGACAACTATGCTGATCTATCAAAAAAATAAAGGTTTTTCAAGATGAAGCCATCATTGCTAGCTCTGACCTTACAGCTGTAGAGAATAAAGGATTCAATTGATGCTAAAATAATCTTCCAACATGAATAAGAATCACATGGACAACCTGCCAATAGAGAAACTGTGTTTCATTTCACCAAACATGTCTCTACACATAGATTTTTGCTGTCTGAATTCTGATCAAACTGTATCAGAACAAAGATTGCTGCTATGGGAAAAGCCCTTATGAGTTTATCAAAGAGCACATTCATATACCAAAGACAATGTGAAAGATAGAAGAGATAAAAAAAATTAATAAGTCTTGTGTCTGGCTATACATTAATCTCTCCAATGAGCTAAAGCTATCAATAGATTGGCATGTGCAAGAGATTATCAAAGGCTGCCTGATGGAGACTATTAAATGCTTGAAGCCTGTTTACCTGTCCTATGATAACGCATGTTCAGAAACAAAATTCACTTCCTCAAAAAAAAAAATCATAATATTGCATATGGCATCCCAATTTTAAAGCAAAATCAAACACATTCGAGAGAAGATACAGCGTCAAATGATGAACTGCTGTCCAGAACTTGACCAAGCAGTTAGCAGAAGATGTAGTATGGATATGAAAATGTATAACCTTTGCGTCAAGTCAGACTTTTATAGCAAGGTTTTACCCCCAAGAAGTGACAAACAAGATTGGAAGCAAAATACAAGTGTAATGACAGCAGCTTGTATGAAGCTCATTCAAGATTTACAACAATAAAAGAATAGATACCAAAATTTCAGACAAAAATGTGTGCCAATTTACTCCTTATATAATCCTAAAACTATCTAAATAGTCCTGCTAGTCTGTGATGATAATTAGAAGCAATTTGATTTTGTTTTAAAAATGAAAAAAGAGCTACACTTCCTTTTCTGCTCTTCTTTTTGGCTCAGATAGCATTTAAAAGAAATTGCTATCTCTATTACCACCAGCAGCCTTACGGTGATGCCTTGAACCAGATCTCTTATCCCTCCCATGTCTAGTGTTCCTCTTCCCTTGAGTTCTTCCACGTATATTGATATTGGGCAAAGTAGGTGGGAGTTGAGTCAAAGCAGCAACAGGTGGAGGCATTTGCTCCAATAAATCTCGATGGTATGCCTGTGAAGAAAAAATTGTGAGAAAACACTTATTTACAACTGGTTATAATCTTGTAATCTTGTAATTTGTATTTCTAGAATCAAGTATTTGTATCCCTAAAATTAATGACAAAAAATTAAAATAGACAATCCCTCAATTATAAGATCAGTTTTAGGAAGATTTAGTTTCCTAGTTTACCCACTAGTTGGTTGTATATAAACCTAAGGTAATTGTATAATTCTTTATGAGCAGTTTTTTAATATACATTCAGTTTTACTCTTAGTTTTCCACACAATTTAATTTTTTAGTTTTTCTACATGATATCAAAGCTTTAGGCTTTTCTTGGGAAGAAAATTTTTTCAACCTTCATTACTAAATTCTATTTCAGGCTTTCATAGCCAAATCTTGTTAAATCTTTTAGTCTTATTTTTTCCTTCTTTAGCCTTCATTGCCTAAAATCATCTCTGGTTAAATCTTTACTATCAAAACCCGTTTCAATCATGAAAAAGATAACCAAGCCAGAGATAGTAAAATCTACCACTACTACCCGATTTGAGGAAGTAACAATTGGTAAACCCCCCAAAGTACTACAAAAGTCTCAATAACAAAGAAAGTTGGACATAGAAGAGATTAAGAAACTAACAAGCCTATTGAAAAGCCTATTGGGATATGTTCTTTGGGTAAGGTCTCTAGTTCCAGTAAAACTTTTGGTTTTCATGAATTAAATGTCTCGGTTAAACCTATTACGAGTTCTTGGGTCATTGAATTAGAAGCCACAGACCATATGACGCATTCTTCACAGAAGTTTAGTACATATGCCCTGTGTCCTAGTAATAAGAAAATTGTTGTTGCAAATGGTTCACTTACTACAATGGCAAGATTAAAAAAAGTTCAAATTAATCCCTCATTTGTTTTTAAAAATGTTCTTCATGTTCCTGAATTATCTACTAATCTCATATCTATACAAAAACTTACTAGAGACATGAACTACAAAATAACTTTTTATCTCTCTTATTGTGAGTTTCAGGACTAGAGTTCAAGAAAGAGGATTGGACTTACCAAGGAGAATGATGGACTATACTATCTTGAGACATCAAACAACACAATTAATATCAAGAATAATTTACTTTTATCATTTCTTTCTGAAAAATCTCCCAATAAAAACAAACTAGCTTTATCATTTTCGTCTTGGACATCATTCTTTTGGAATTTTGAAAAACATATTTCCTTTTTTGTTCAAAGGATTAAATGCCGAAAATTTTCATTATGATGTTTGTGAACTTACAAAGACGTGTATCTTTTCCAATTAGCAATAAAAGAAGTTTTACTCATTTTTACTTGATTCATAGTGACATATAGGGTCCCTCTACAATTCCTAATATTTCTGGTGTAAGGTGATTTGTTTCTTTCATAGATGATTGTATCAGGATCTCTTTGATATTTTTACTTAAATCCAAATCAGATGTGAATAGGGTATTTTTAAGCTTACAAAAGATGATCCAAAATCAAGAGATTTAAGTCTGATAATACAAGAGACTATTTCAACCAAAATTTATCTATCAATTTCCAAAATAAGGGGATTATCCATAAGTTATTTTGTGTTAATAATCCACAACATAATGGAGTGACAGAGAAGGAAAACAGTCATGTCCTAGCCACAACCCGAGCTTTACTTTTTCAAGCAAATGTACCTAACTCCTACTGTGGGGGAAGTTGTTTTCACTACCACATATATTATAAATAGGTTACCTTCACGGGTTTTGGGATTTAAAACTCCGATGAAATTACTCTCAATTCAATCCCAATTTTAATACTACAAATCAACCCACTGTCAAGTGCTAAAATGCTAAAGCAAAGTTCAGAGCAATGGCTCAAGAAATTTGTAAACTACTATGGTTAAAGATTATCCTAGAAGACTTTAAAATCAAGTGAGCTAAACTAATGAGACTCTACTGTGATAACAAGTCTGCAATAAGCATTGCATACAATCCCATGCAACATGACAGCACAAAACACATTGAAGTAGACCAGCATTTCATAGAGGAGAAACTAGACAATGGGTTGATTTGTACATCGTTTGTATCAACTAAGGGTCAACTTGTAGATGTGTTGACTAAAGGTCTCAGCAATGCAACATTTCAAGAAATTATTTTCAAGCTGAGAATGGAAAACACCTATTCACCAGCTTGAGGGAGAGTGTGGGAAAAATATTTATTTACAACTGGTTGTAATCTTATAATCTGTATATTTATATTTGCATCTCAAGAAGTAAGTATTTGTATCCTTAGAATTAAGGACAAAAAATTAGGATAAACAATCCCTCAATTATAGGATCAGTTTTAAGAAGATTTAATTTCATAATTTCCACACTAGTTAGTTGTATATAAACCTAAGGTGCTTGTATAATTCTTTATGAACAGTTTTTCAATATACATTTAGTTTTACTTTTAGTTTTCCACACAGTTTTATTTCTTAGTTTTTCCACAAAAATCACTTGAAAATGATTACATGCACCGATCAAACCTACACGTGCCCCCCATCCAAGCATAGAGAGAAGCGTTGGTTGTATCCAACAAAAGCCTATTGAATCCCTTTGACCAAAAGAAAAGACTAAAAAACCTCAATCCCTTAATTAAGCATATCATGAATTAATATAAGTGATTTTTGACATCGCAACATATTTGAAACATATGTTATTCTTAAATCCTCGTGTTTTTGAGGATTTGGAAAACAAGCCGCTCCCCCCCTCCCCCTTTCTCTTTTTTCTACATCCCCCTTCTTCTCAGAGACACCAGTAAAAATGGAAAAACAATATATTTAGATTTTAAGTTACCATGCCGAATATGTACCTGTATGACAAAATTGCGCCTTTCACAATCCAAGAACATATTGATACCCCAATCAACTTTTGCCATTATTTTATCCCTTACTATGGCAAAGCTTAACTGGTCCCTGGATGTAAAACGGTCAACTTCATTGAACCACAGGCAGGTAAACAGATTTGTGATGGGAACATGTTCCTTTATGAGTACACAACCTTCAGGAACATCTGCAGAAAACCAGTCAGGCACCAAAAGGTTAGATTTTTAATAGAGAAATGGTTGAAACACTGTATACAGAAAAGGCATGTACATATTTGTATTTGTATAAAATATTGTAAATACCACTGGTTATACGAAGTTTGGCCTCAGAATATGGTGTTAAACCCTCTTTTTTATAAAAATCCACCTGCTCATCAATCGAGGAATTATCATATTTTCCTGCAGCTTTATTTGCTTCAGCCTCTACAAAGACATCAAATCGTCTGTAGTGTCTCGAGATCGCAAAATTAGCATTTTGGCGCCACAAGAATCTGAGAAGAAGAATGACCAAATAAGATAATGGTAAATAAGATAATGGTCAGATAAATTCAATTAAATCCTCAAACCTAAAGTCAAAATTTTAAAGCATGCTCAGTACAAATGACTGACGCCTAATGAGAGGCTGTCTTCACTAAGTTACAAAAAGCTTTATATAGAACCAAGTTTCCTTAATCAAGTCAATAGTTTTCATTAAGTCCTAACTCTCAGTTTGTACTCCCTTTTCTCTGTGCCATACTCCAAATCAACAAGAACATCTCAAAAAATCATAAAAGTCAAACATTTACACGTGTTAAAGATATAAATAAGGAAACAGCTAAAGCATACACAAACATAAAACCTTTGGGTCAATGAATAATTTACAAATCAAATAAAAGATGAAGCGAACTGTGTGCTGTCATTGCATCACAAAAATTTAATAATTTGAGATTGCATTGCTAGAATCTCTCATTCTACAAGCATCGGATATTAAACCAAAGTAAAGCTTATATTTAAGTAGCTATGTAGCAATAATTTGGTTAATATTCTTGGATGACAAAGAGCATATCTCATTATAACTTAGAGATGCAGTCCATCTGACACAGTAGAAATCATATAATCTAAAAATTTAATAATCCTTTTTAAAAATCAGCAGCATACAAATAAGATCATAAAATGGAGGACACCTCTCAAGAAGTTGATAAGGATCCACCACAAGCTGGAGCTTTCCATCAATCCATATAGAGTAGCGAATATTTGGGAAGATTCTATGTAATAAAAGCTTTGGGACCTGCCATAATACATACCAGGTAAAGAAGACTCAGCAGCCTGAAGTATAGAAAACCTATGAAATTTCTGATAAGGATTAATGCAACAGATACCCTTGAACTTTCACCAAATATCGACTGAGTCATTACACTCTTATTTTATGAATTGAAGTATATAAATTTAGGTCCATTCTGAGGAGGAAAAACAGAGACAATGATGAGCATCAACGGCCCAATCCCCCTCCCCCACCTCCCATCTCTTCTCATCCTTGCTCTAGCAGCATCAGAAATGCTTTAAAAGAAAACATTGGTAGCCCCTGAGCTTGACAGTGAATCCAACAATGATCGGACAAGTTTACCATTGTCACTAAAAATCTAAGAGTCAACATATCAAATTAGGTTTACTTGTACTAGTTATAAATACCATAACACATCACTTATTCCCTATCTCTTGACCTAACCAACCAAATAAATGCTTCTTCCTGTTTGTATTTACAAACAAACAAAACTAAATCTCATAAATGCTCAAAGGTGAATCAGATTACAAAACGTCCAAGTAATGATCAGGAAAAAAAAAAAAACCATAGCGCAAATCAAACAAACCAAAGTATGCCGACCTTCCCATTACGTCTTGCATCACTGTAAGGAACATTGTGGACGACAATAATTCTCCAGAAGCCCACCCTTTTACTGCTATCCAAAATACTTTTGTTCTTCATATATGCTTCTGTTTCTTCATCAATAAACATGTAGAAAGGAATATTTTTCTTTGCTTCTTCACTAATGTTCATGGGCTGTTGTATCACGTCATAGTTCCCTGAAGAAAAATACATAAAGCAACAATGAGGATCAGACGTACATAAAAGCAAGAAGCTCTTGTGGAAGCTTGAATGCCTAGCAGTACCAAATATGGCTGATGCAACAATGATGTCATGGAATTGCTGCAACTCTGCATGGTCAGACTCATCAAAGTCAAATCCAGTCTGGTAACCAGGTTTACTTCCCTTGACAAATCTGACATAGAAAGTATACAAATTATAATATTAAAAAGCAATTAGAGGGACGTAACTTATTTACGAAGACAGATAATTCATTGAATCATTTACATGCACCATATAAACCATAAGAATCACATAAATTTCCACCTGAAACGTCTTCAACAAGTATGTTATATTGAAAAATTGGTAAGCGGAGTGAAACCTACCCACAGTGCACTGTCATTGACTCTTTTATATCGAATGAATCATTTCTTTGCTTTAGAGATGGATATCCACCAAAGTCAGAGCCCCCATGTGGTTCACTTTTGATTGGATTTTCATCATGAACATATGTCAAATTATGAAGCACTGGAGACGCTGATTGAGAGATTGGCATGCTAGCTATTGCCTGATCCACAGGGAGGTAACATACTGGACATGCTGAAAAAGGGATGAGCAAGAACAAAATCAGTAGCAAGATAATAACACATATACTAAATATGCACATAATTGACACATGCATGACAAGATGAGAAAATGTTATTGCATTCTTATGATTATATATGGATCAATTTATTTTGGCACGAGGGTAATTATGATTTAAAAAAAGAACAAACACACACACACACACAATGAATGATCCAATGGCCTTCTGGAGATATATTATGTTATTGCTAAACAAATATGTTTGCTTTTATCAAAAACTACTGCTCTTAATGCATTCAAGTGAAAAACATCAATACAATTACATTGAAGGCCATGTTCCAATATTTAATGCAACTCGGATAATGAGAATTGAGAACCCAAAGAATGAAACCCAAACTTACGCCGAGGTCCAATCCGTCTACGAGTTGGTGGAGGGGGAGGAGGAAATGTGAAATTCACGCATGGATGGTGAAATGGCAGAATGCTTGCACCCTTAAAAGTAGGAATTTGAAATCTATTGCCATCACCTCCTTTCACACTGTTTGCCACAGAATAATGTTCATCTTTCTGCCTATCCTTCCTTCCAAGGATCCGTGAATCTTCAGGATTGCTTCGGAAACCATTCACATAAGGACCAATGCCCAAAGTTCCAATCCGTTGATCAACATTAGGACTAGTGCTTTCTGGTTCATTAATCATAAAAAAGGCAAACCAGAAAAAGATGTATAAGTTATTGCCTCAAATCAAATTACTGTGCTGAGAACAAAAAGTCACAGAGTCGTTACATTAAACAGTAAGTGAGACAATAAAAGACCAATACAGAAGAAATATGTCAACTGATGCCTCTGATGCCTATTCTACCTATAGAAGTAAGACTTAGTGCTCTAACAGTCAGGATCCAAAAATCAAGTTAGAACTTAGAACTCAGAGTAACAGAAAAAGGAACAGACCTTTGTTGACTACAAAAGAACCCAAGACAAAGACCAAAAGGGCAAAAGCAACCAGGAGCAGCATGGAAACCTTCCGACGACCTAGATACCGGTACCAAACGTAGGGGAGAGACCTCTCCTTTTCCCTAGAACCTGAAAGCATTTTGGTTGAACTCTTTCGTACGATACCCAATGATTTAGAGTGCAATAATCCTCCACCACCACCAATAACACCGTTGATGTTCTGCAATGACCCATAACTCCCTGTACGTAGACCCAATGACCCTCCAGTCATTGTATCTCAAATCCAACCCCAAGTTCCTCACTCATTTCCCTTCACCCTCTCATTCACTCACAACCACCCCCCAAAAATTCTATCTCCAAAAAACTGTACAAGGACAATTTCTCTTTTTTTGTTGCTATGGCAATTCGAAAGCAAATCCAATCACCCAATTCTCCATTTTAGACAAAGAATACTGCAAATATTGAATATAAATCAAACCTCTATCATGCATATCAATAGATATACCAATAACACTGTTCATCAAAGCTCTTCACTATTCAAATTGTTCCCAAAAACCAAAGTGATTGACTTCTGTTAACACACACACACACACCAAAAAAAAACAAAAAGTCAGAAAACTTTCTCCAGAACACTTTAGACAAAGATTATAACTTTTTTGCCATATATGCACTTTAGAAATGCAGATTTCAGAAACAAAAACCAATGGCGATAACCAATTCCCCATTTTTTTTTACAGTGCAAAAGATTGACATTACTGTAAGGCCTCTAAAAAAAAATCTAATCGTGAAAATACACAAACTTAGTGCCAATTTGTTAAAAAAAAAAAAGAAAAACTGTTCCTTTAACCGATGCGATTTAATTCAGCAAACAAAAAACTAAAAAAAAATGGCAAGAATTAAACCTTTTTCCACATGAAGCTTTAAAATAACAGAAACCCATTATTCAATTTCACTTAACTTGATCTCAAAAACCAAAGTGATTGAATTCTATCAACCAAACAAAAGAAAAAAAAAATAAAAGGTCAAACATGGAAACATAAAAATTTGGCATTGAAAATTAAAACCCGGTTTTGAATTCCATTAAAATTGATCTCAAGAACTAATGTGATTCAATAAATTAACAAATACCCACCTTGGAAAAAAATCTGTTAAAATAAAAATCGTGTCTTATCAATGATATTAGAGGGAAATGGATAATGGATAAGACCCAGAACAAACCAAAATATATATATATACAAATTGTAATCACATTTTAAATGAAAGAATTCTATTTCCAGGAGTTCAAATCCGAACCCAAATCACACCTGCTAAAAAAAAGTGGGGAAATTATTTACCTTTAGGAAAAATGTAGGTCCCTCTTTTGATTTTTAACTTTTTTTTTCTTTTTGCTTCCTCTAACTTTTGTAGATGTTTTGAGTTATGCTCTGATGGTGATTGTTTTTGGTGAGGGGAAAATGAAAATTACTGATTTATTTTTTTTAATTTGGAAAATAAATAAGATCTCGAGACAAACGTGACAAATGTAGTTAATATTTTAGACAATAATTAAATTTTATCTTACGTGGATAATATCCCGGGCGGGGAGAAATCCGACTGCTCCTATTTTATCGTGATGAAGCGCATCCTTGGCTCTTAGGTTCCGGTGGCAGGGTGTAAAACATTAAATAATATTATTAATAAATGATTAGTTCATTTTATTGATAAAGATTTATTTTTTTTTATAAAAAATTTTTGAATTTAAATTTTATTGATAATTATTATTTAAAATTATTTTAAATACATATTTTATACACATTTACCTTATATTATTATATATTATATATTTTATTTTTATTCGAAGAATTGTGTAGTTTATTGATCTCAAATTTTTTTCTTACCACACAAAATATTTTTAAAAATTAAGCCTAAGAAATGTGTGAAGGAAAATTTTATATTGATTTTAATTTGTTTATATTTATTTGTTAAATTTAATATAAAATTATTAATAATATTTTAAAAGTTATTAATTAAATAAATATATTATAATTAAATTAAAATCTGTTTATATTCAGAGTTTAAATGAACAAAATATTCAATAAATAATTTTTAAATAATTTTAATTTTTATTTATTTATTAAATTTAATAAATAATTATAAATAATATTTTAAAATTTATTAATTAAACAATTAAATTACAAATATATCAAAATTTATTTATATTTTATTCATTTACACTTTTAAACTTAAATGAGCATATATAAATCCAAACTTGACATTTTTACAGGTATCAATAAGGTAGAGGTACGAAATGAATTCAAATCCAAAAATTCATTAAAGAAATCAATTTGAATATGTTCAAATTTAATTTTATAAAAAAAAAAAGTTAAACTTAAATATAAAATAAATTTAAATATGAAATAATTTAAACTTAAAATTATTCAAAACACAAAACAACTCAAACATTAATCCAATCAAAACTCAAAAATATACCAAAATACTTATATATTTTATAAAATTAAAAAAAAATTATCGAATTAACCCAAATACCCAAAAAAAAATGCTAATCTAAAATATTCAACTCAATTCAACTGTTTACCACCTTGACCAAATTGAACTTATTAATTCCGTACACGAAAACAAAGATTGCATTGACCGTTGTACATTCCTCCAATAGGCGTCTCCAAAAATTATTGAAAAAAAGTGGAATTAAAGTTTAGAGCAATTAGTTTTGTTGGATAACATTTAAAAAAAAAATTTTTGGCAATTTGGAGAAAAATATTGTAAAGTTGGTAATGCTTGCTTTGCTATTATAATACCATTGGCACTTTTAATAAAATGGTGAAAATGATGGATGAGAAGAAAGTTACGGCATGTAATGAAATAGACAGACTTTGTTATTGGCAATTGAAGACAATCAATGGTAAGAGGATAAGAATTAATTTAGTGCTAATTGAAAATGATTTTTTTTTTATTATTATTATTATTTTAATATGATTGGAGAAGTGGAAAGTTGAAACAAGAAAGTAATTATTTATTTCAACACCTTCAAGTGTAAAAAACTAAAAAATAATGATCAAGAGTTAAAGATGAGGTTTTCATGGCAAGAATTTTACTAGGCTTTTATTTGGGTCCAAACATTTTAATTAGAAAATGAAGCTCAAGGAGATACAACATGGGCTTCATACAAATTACTGCCCAACCAAAGTCTAGACTTTTGTTGAAAGAGGCTTTTCATGTTAAACTTTGTGTACAAAATTTTATTTTAAGTTTATTCTTAAGGAAACACCCAAATAGTAAATATTTTGAAAATTTTAACTTTAATATCCTACATTTGAACTTTGAACATTTTTTTTTATTTCATGTAATAACTTGGTACCTACCACAAAATGCATATAACAATTAAGCCTAGATTGCTTGAATTGGGAAGCAAAGGTGAAACCTAACTTTCATCTTGTTCTTTATGCAAGTTTTTGTAATTAAGTTAATAGAAATAATTATAATTTATTGACATTGGAATTTTTTAGATTTTACAAATAAAATTAATATAGTACCACTTATTTATAGTAAAAAATAAATATTTTTTAATCTCACTTGTAAAATTAACAAAATTTCATTGAAGTATATAAAAAATGAACGTTTACTAATCATAGTAATAACAATAATCTTATTCTATTTTATTGTATGAATCAAACTAAAAAATAACTATAGGAATCCTTGTCTCACTCTTGTAATATTCTTACAAAATAGTACTTTTCCAATATCTATCTTAATCTTTACCTAATTTCAGACTGTATAAGATTGTTTTTTTCTCCTTTTGACAAGTAATTAGAGGGAAAGAAAGAGAACTAAACACGTTTTCTCAAAGTGGATCAACAACTTTTATGACTAAAGTTGACTAGCCATCCATAATCCTCTTCTTGAAAGGATTATTTTACATCACATCACTCGTGTGGTTGATGGAACTAGAAAGAGTTGAAATATATGCTTTCTATACATACATACATCTAATATATATATATATATATATATATATATATATTATATTAACATGGTTAATAACACTTATAATTCTTAATTTAAATTTTTTAAAAATTATAATTAGATTTCAATTACTCAAAATGTCTTACTTAAGTTTTTCTATTTATAAATCATCTAAATTAAAAATAAATATCAATTGATACAATATGACGACGTTAGTTAACACTCATATAGCAAAAAATGATTAAAATAAAATTCTCTCAAATTTTAAAGATAAAAAAGGAAACTATCTCAAAATTTTATATAATTTCATATATATATTACATATTTATAAAAATATTAAATTTAAAAATATTTTTATATTTTTTGTTGTATTATAATTTATTAGTTAAAGTTTTTGTTTAAATAAAAAATAGATATTCAAAACTTAAAATTAAGTTAAATTTTTCAAAAAAAATTTAAATATTCAGTGCATTTTAAAAACAAAAGAATTATTTTTATTAAAAATATTATTTTACTCATAAATTATAATAAAAATATTATTTTCTATCCAAAAATTTATTTTTAATATTAACTATTTTTATTTTTCTTTTTAAATATATTTTATAAAAAAAAAATTTATAAAAAATAAAAAATTTTTAAAATTATAATTTTATTTTATATGAAATATAAAAATTTTTAAACAAAAATAGATTCAAATTAGATTATTTGAATAGAAAATAAATTTTAGAATAGATAAATAAGTCTATTTTTTAAAATGCTATAAAAATTTTTACATAATATTTTAAAAATGATATAGAGTTTTATTTAATTTTTAAATCGATATAGAAATTTTATAAAATGATATGTAATTTTTTAAAAATATATATATTTGAAAATTTTAACTTAATTATAATTTTTTAAATATATTTTCTCTTAAAAATATTATTTTAATGATAAATCATATCATAATAAAAATTAAAAATATTTTAAATTATAATGTTTTATAAAATATATTTGAAATATATAAAAATCAAATTTTCTTTCATTATTTTATTATTTATTTTATAAAATATATTTGAAAAGGAGAATTAAAAGATATTTAATATTTTAAAAATAGATTTTTTGGTAGAAAATAAAATTTTTATTATGATTTATGAGTAAAAAAATATTTTCGTTTTTTAAATGATATTGAATTTTTTTAAAAATTGATTTTTTAACTTAATTCTAATTTTTGAAAATATATTTTATATTAAAAATAAAAATATAATTAATAAATTATATTACAACAAAAAATAAAAAATATAATTTTAAATTTAACATTTTATAAAATATACGTAAAATATATAAAATTTTGATATAATTTCATCTTTAACCTTTCAAATTTAAAAAAAAAAAAATTATTTTGGTCAATCCTTATCATATGAGATATCAACTAATATTATCACATAAACGACAGTTGTCATTTATTATCAATTTAAACAATTTGATAAATGAAAATATCACAATAAAACAATTTTGTATAATTAAAAATTCAATTAATTTTTTTAAAAATTAAAAATCAAAATAAAATTTAAATCAAAGTTTAGAAACTTCGACTACTACAAACCCATAATCACATCCACAATATTAGAACTGCAAAGTTAAATGACAATAAGCTTCTAAAGGCCATAAAAAGCAATACCAACACTTTTGAACTTTGGCAAAAAGACCGAAAATAGCCTCAACTTTTAGTTCTTTTGGTTTATAAGAAAATTTTAAAAATAGATAAATTACTCAATCTCTTAAATTAAGATAAAATATGTTCTACTTGATAACTTAAAACAGATAATTATAAATCATGCATTCGAAATAATTTTAACAAATGATCATAAAAAAATATAATATTTTTTCATCAAAAAATACGAACCTAATTAATTGAATTAATCACTTATCGATCAACTTTTAGTTTTATAATATTGTTATAAAGATATACTTTTTTGATCTTATCTCCAAGACACAAAAAAAAATTATTAGATGATTCAAAGAAAGAGCCCACTTCATGAATTTCAATCAAAATTGTGACTAAAGTGCTTGATTTTTTTTTTTATAGTAAGTGCTTGAAATTTTTGACAACCATAAGAAAAAAAAAACTTTACAAACAAAATTATCGGATATTTTGTAGAGGCCAAAATCTGCATTCTTTAATTGTTTTTATCTTGCTGTCTTTTATTGAACGTCATCACAAACAACACGATAGATTATGGTCTCAACACATTTTTTGAATTTATTTTTATTAATCACCAAAAAAAAATATTGATTGATCATTTTTTATTATTATTTGATCATAAATTTCTTCTTTCCTTTTAAAATTACTATTTGATCATTTTTTATTAATTTTATGCCTCCGGTAATAAGATCATCATAAAAAAAAAAGCTCAAGTTGTTAAAGTTCATTAAGATATATTAATTAAAAAAAGTTAGGTTTAGCAATAACAAGCATGCTGATTGTTTAGCAATAACAGAAATGGCTGCAAACATTGAATGTCAATTGACAATTAAATACTTGGTTAATTGTAGGTAGATAAGTGGTCCATTATGTTAGTTCATCATTTGTACAAAAAAAATACTCATAAAACCTTTGGGTCCATGGCTTGACAAAATAGAAACCGCTTACCAACAATAAAAAATCTTTTTTGTTCCTTTTATAGTATCATATCATATTCATCCAACTACACATGTTGCATCAAAGATAAAGAAAGATATAATAGTTGTTCACCATCTAGATTAACGAAATAGGTAATCATAAATGAGGAGATTTGGACATAGGTATTCAAGATTACAGTTTTAATGTTTTGAATTCGGATCTTAATATAATTGATACATGTAATTGGTTACTTTTAAAAAATGATATTCAATATATTTTTAAGATTTAATATTTATAACATATTCGTCTATTCTTATATTATGATCTTCTTTGTAAAAAAAAAATTTCTAATGTTTTCTTGTTAAAAAAAAAAAAAGAAGTCCCTTTAGTGATAACTTTAGTAAATAAATTATTTTAATTATATATACATGAGAAAATGATTGAAGAAAGGGGATTTAAACTTTAGAACTTATATTTCTTTCAACAATTAAACTAAAATCATGATTGTTTTTTTTTGGAAATATATAAATTCTTTCATTTGTATAAAATTTCATAAAATTTTAAATTATATAGGAGAATTATTATCCTATCTTATTTCATAAATTTTATTTTTATTTTCAAATATTTTAAAGTGTAAAGAATATAAAATATTCTTCGATATTCTTATTAATATAAAATTTCTTATAAACAAATTCGTAATATGAAAATATAAAAATATTACAAATATTAATATTTAAAATTTAAATTTATTAAATATATTTTTTAAAAATAATTATATTAAAATTTGAATAACTTTATTATCATGGCCACATTGCTCAAAACATCATTGCTATTATTTCACAAATCACAGCCTCCCTCTCCCACTATCACAAGTGCCATTAGTTCTGTTTTCCTCAACACGCTTGTTAACTAAAAAGCAAAATCATTGTCACTGATTTTCATACCTTACCAAAAAGAAAAGTATTCTAACCAATAACTCAAATAACTTTCCAAAAATTTTTTTTATCTTTTTTCAAACATGAAGGGCCATGGCCCCTCACCCCTTTGCACAACTCCTGAAAACTTCCCCATTAAAATAATGGAGTTGGTAACAATGATACAAATAGGAAAGCCCTTAATCGTGAGAAGCTTTACCAAATGTTGAAGTGAATGGAAACATGGGTAACACAAAAGCCAACAATGTAGATCAATCTCAAGCCATCCATGGATTTTAAGATGGGTCCCAAGTGTTTGTTCACTTGTCTTTTTGAGAGAGGACATAGCCATAAATTTCACATATGCATATGCATGATTATATGGATAAAACTATTTGTAATTTAATAGACTTGGACAGCTATTGTTGGCTAGCTTCTTTCCAATTTTTTCTTTTCATTTTTTAAAAATTTTTTTTGGGGACAAAACAAAACATTGTACATGCACATGACTTGCATTGGATCCATGTGGGTTGTTTCTTCAACTATTTTTTGTGCCACCCTCTAATGTTTGTCTTTATCTTGAATGTCAATGTAACAACAAAATTAGTCAATGTTTTAGATTTACCATTGATTTTTTTTTTAAATGCTAATAAATTTTATGTGACAATTTTAATTTGACTAGCATATATTTGATCCATATGATATGATCAAATAAACTAGCATGTCTGTTGATTTAATTGATAAATTTGTAGTATACCCTTTGCCATCTACCATAATTGTAAAAAAAAAAAAAATTGTTACTCTCTCAATTTTTAAAATTTTTTAATGTATAAAATTATTAACTGTATAAAGGGGAAGCAATTCTATTTCATATTATTAACTATGTAAGATTATTAACTATATAAAGGGGAAGCAATTCTATTTCATTTTATAAACTTAGTCATTTTGTGGAGCAAAATTTTAAGAAATTAACAATTTTTTATGAATGATTTATAAATTTAATATAAAATTTTATTGAAATTTGTGGTATGTTTTGATTTTAAAATAAGATAATTTGTTCTCATATAAATTTTTTTGTATTTTTTATATATTTTGTATGTAATTAATTTTCTTGAAATTGTGATAACCAATTTCTAACTACTCCAATTCCATCTAACAAACTGATGATTGAAGTCACCAATAAAACTTTTATTTAGTTCCCAATTTGTTTTTTTTTTTCAAAAAACAAAAAAAAAGGTTAGGATTGCATAGTCAAAATATATAAAATTAATATAAAAAACCTCAAAATAAAGTTGATCACAAATATTTTAATATCCTAAAGTCAAAGTCTATAGTCATTTGAAGTAGCAAAAAAGAGTCATTTGTGCATAGAGAAGATTTTTTTTTTCTCAAACTAAGAAAATTGATACAAAAATGTCAATTCTTAATTGAATAATTTTTTATTTAATTATATGTTGTGCAAATATACTAAATAAAAAAATGATGTGATTAGTGATGTGCAAATTTGACCACACGATGAAGAATGGACGTTGATGATGGCATTGAAAATTGATTTTAGAAAAGTGGGACCCAACAAAAATCGATTACCACGGTGTAATCGAGTTAGACGGTAATTCTCTCAAGTCTCACCTGACAGTCTTTATGAAGTAAACTGATAAAAGCTTTTCTTACTGTCTTAATCCAGTGTAGTTTTAACTTTTCCACACGCTCTTTCTCAGCGAGTGCCCGCACTCAAGCTTCTGTCAAACTTATAAAAATGAAAGAAATTTAATCATCGGAGAAAAAATATTTCTGATAAGAAAAAATTTGAGATAGGTAAATTATTTAATTTTTTAAGTTAAAATAAGATGTATTATATTTAATAGTATAAAATAAATTATTATAAATTAATATTCAAGATGATTTTAACAAATAATTATTGATATTTAAATTTTTTCGTAAAAAAAAGAACTTTAATTAATTAAATTAATTATTTGTTAATCATTGGAGAAATAATTGTATGTTTCTAAGTGGTGTTTTTTCGATTAATTTATTAATTTTTTTCTTTTTTAAAACTAAATTGTTACTTAAATTATTAAAACATTTTAAAAAAAGAAATTTTTTTTAAGTTTTTTAAATGTCCAATATTATTTTAATTTTTAATTTTTTTAAAAATTTGTATGCAATAATTATTTGTAAGCATTTAAAATTTGAAAGTTATTGCATTGCTACTTTAATTATTTAATTCAATGACAAACTTTTAAATAAGTTTGAGTTTTTCCAACGAATGTCCTAAGTATATTATATAAAATTACTATATTAAGTAATATTTTTTCCTTTAATATACCAATTACAATTTTTAATTAAAATGTTGTAATTATTATAAATAAAATATAATTAGCCCTGATGAGTGTCGATTCATTATCAAATTTTCAAAGTTATAAATATTAAATAATATTATTTCTTCTCACAACTAATTATTGGTAATTTATATAATTCATTTAAGGTATCACAAAATTCAAAAAGCAAATCATTAGTCGAGAGAAAAAGAAAAAGAGGCAAAAACATGTCATTTCTTATGTGTACTTTTTATACTAAAAAGAAATTATTCTCTCAATATAAAATAAAATAAAATAAAAATAAGATTTTATAGTATTTTTTTGATAAAAAAATTTAAGATAAATAAATTTTTTAATTTTTTAAATTACAATAAGATATATCATACTTAATAATTTTAAAAAATAATTATAGATTATATATTAAAAATAATTTTAATAAATAATTATTGATAATATTTAAATTTAAATATAAATAATTTTAATAAATAATTACTGATAAAATTTAAATTTAAAATTTTTTTAATAAAAAATAATTTTAATTGATTAAATTAATTTCATCGCAAACAAACTCTTTAATTTATAAAGCGCGTGCGTTCATCAAATGCATCAAGAATGTCTTTTATACACATTGGGTTTTACAAACCATAAATCCAATAAAATTAAAATATAAAATAAAATAAAATACTCGCCATTAAATGTTTATTATCAATAAATTATTGCCTCCAAATATAGTTAATTTCCCCCTTTCCTCACAACCAAAAAAAGGAAAAATATGTAAAAAAAATCTCAAAATCCAAAAAAAGGCTTTCTTTTCTTCGCACCTTCAGATCCATTTCTCTCTTTCCATTTTTACTTGCAAACCCTAGATCACTTTATCTCCGTAGGGTTTTCAGAGTTCCAACCTTTTTTTACTGCAAAGGAACAAGCTTTTTCTTGAAGTTACCTGAACAAAGTGAAGATTTTTAGTTAGTTTTTTATTTTTTGTTTTTTAGGCTTTTATGTAGTTTAGAATTGTGGGTTTTGAATCATTCAATTGGATAGGGAGAGTAGAAGAAAAATTGAGAGTGTAAAAAAACTGTCATTTTGAAGGGTGGTATTGAATTTGTGTTAGTTTGTTTATCTTGGAAGCTTTTTCGGGGAGTGGATTTTTTTTTTTTTAGTTTTTTTGTAAAAATTGTGGTTTTATTGAGTTTTATAGAGAAATGGGCTCTTGTCATATGTTCATTTTGCTTAAATGTTGTTGAAGAAATGGGATTTTGATTAGACTGGATAATTTGCTTTGAATATTGGGTTTTAGTAAAGTTTGCAGCTTTGTTGGTTTTTTAGAAAAATGGGTTCTTCGTTATTTTTATTTGGTTGAATGCTGGTGAGGAAGGGGTTTTTGTTTAAGTTGAAATTTGAATGGTTGGGATTTTAGTTTTTAGTTGAGTTTTTAAGCTTTTGAGTATGATGAGAATGAATGAGGAGGATAATCTTGGAAAAATAGAATTCTTGAAGGTATGAAGGGTAGTTAGTGACTGTAAGAAGAACTGAATAAGGTTTTGTTGAGGGGTGGTTTTGGTGTATGATGGGGTGCATCTGTTGTAAGCCTTCTGCTATTGATGATAGTAAGGAGAGTCCTAGAGAGAGGCCTTCGAGTAAAGCCTCATCAGATGTTAGGGTATCAAGGGCTACTTCTTCGAGGAGGGAGGAAGTGCATAGAGCAAAGGATCGGTATGATAACAATGAAGGGAGAACAATGTTGATTGATAAAAAAGTGAATGGTTTGGTTATGGTGAATGGCGAGAATTTGGACAGGAAGAGGGAGAAGATGGAGTATGTTGTTAGCCAACACCCAGGGATGGGTAGTGTTCCAAAAGCTACAGAAGGAGAGCAGGTGGCGGCAGGGTGGCCTGCTTGGTTATCTGCAGTGGCGGGAGAAGCAATCAAGGGATGGGTACCGCGGCGTGCAGACTCATTTGAAAAGCTGGATAAAGTAATTGTGCTCTTACTTAAATCTAGTTATTTGGTTACAGTGTTGCTTGTTATATGCTTGGTCCTCATGTTGCAAATATCGTTTATAATTTCTTTATATGACTTATCAGTTGATATTTAAGTTGTACCCTGTTAGTCTCTGCATTACTTGTCGAGATTCACCTTTATGTTATTAAATTCAGAATCTTAGTTATTGTAATCCATTTGGATATCTGTTAATGATTGTAAAATATGTTGTCCTAATTCATAATTCCTAAGCCGCTATGCAATTAGTATTTTAGTTTTTTGCATTACAAAGATATCTTTGTTCTCAGGTGTGACAATGCTTTACTGGGAGGTCTATAGTTCAATCTCTGTTCTTGAACACAAAATTTTCTCTACTTTGTTGGGTATTTGTGCAGTGGTTTGATTGTATAATGTATCTATCTTGACTTTCTTTTTTATTTTTTTTACCTACGTTATGAAAAATTCTAGAAGCTATCCTATAATTTCTATTGCAGGACATAATATTTAGTTTCATATAGTCAATTGAAATTTTAGTATGGGTTATTATAAATGATTTAGTAGAATAACAAACTTTTTACACTTAAATAAAGTGCAGATGTGATATAGATATAGATATAGATAAACACTGAAGCAAGTGCACCTTGTACTAAATCAATCTCAATAAAATCAAAACACTACCAATTTGCAATTAGAAACAATAATTCTCTCTAAATCAAGTGATAATATACCTTTATTCAACATTAAGCCATCTTAACATTTTTGTCTTTCTCCTCCACTCTCATGCCCTGTTGTTTTGGTCCTTAAATTGCCACCCTTTTACTGGCTTCTAGATGTGTAATTGGGACAATGAAGCTTAAGAATGTAGATTTTTGGAATTCAATATGTTTTGTTGATTCTATGCCACAGGCGTTCAGTGTAATTTCTCTTATCTATGTCCTTTAAATTGGCAGTTTCTTGTGGCTAGTAATCACATCTGTTAGATTAACTTGTATTTTCTATGCAGATTGGCCAGGGAACTTATAGTAACGTTTATAGGGCTCGTGATTTAGATCAGAAAAAAATTGTTGCTCTGAAGAAAGTAAGATTTGATAACCTTGAGCCGGAGAGTGTTCGATTTATGGCAAGGGAAATTCACGTTCTACGTAGACTTGATCATCCAAATGTTATAAAGCTGGAAGGTCTGGTAACCTCAAGGATGTCTTGCAGCTTGTACCTTGTTTTTGAGTACATGGAACATGATTTGGCTGGTCTTGCTTCACACCCTGGTCTGAAGTTTTCAGAATCACAGGTACATCAGATTGTTTTGCCTTCATATTTTGTTCTTTGCTGCAATTTAATATCTTTCCAAAGTTTACTTGTTAGTAAGTACTAAGTAGTAACTGTGGTCCAGAATGAAGATTCCCATAAGAGATCTTCCAAACATGGGGATTACGTGATTTTGCTTTATTATTATTATTATTATTTTGTAAGTTGCAGTCTTAACGAGTGGATAATATTCTGCAAAATCAGAATTTTATGATTTGCATTTAAGGGCTATCCTGACATTCAATTTATTGAGCTATTGGGCAGGTTAAGTGTTACATGCAGCAACTTTTGTGTGGTCTTGATCATTGTCACAGCCGTAGTGTCCTACATCGTGACATAAAGGGTTCCAACCTTCTAATTGACAATAATGGCATCTTGAAGATTGCAGACTTTGGTCTGGCTAGTTTTTATGATCCCCATCAAAGTCAGCCCTTAACAAGCCGTGTCGTAACTCTTTGGTATAGACCACCAGAGCTTTTACTTGGAGCCACTTACTATGGTACTGCTGTGGATTTATGGAGTACAGGTTGCATACTTGCTGAGTTATATGCCGGCAAACCTATTATGCCTGGAAGAACTGAGGTGCGCTTTTATCATTTAAATGAAAGTTTTCCTAATAAGCATTTAGAGTTGTAACCAGAAACTTTAGTGTAAGGTGAGATGCATAATAATTATTTTAGTGACAGAATATGTGATATGTGGTTGATTGAGCTTCAAATTGTATATCGACCTAGTATTTATTATACAGATGATATAATTTTACCAAGGTATTGATTAAGGCCAAAACATCTGTCCCTAATTGGGGTTTTTGAGGAAGATTTAGGCTTGATCAGAACAGCGCAAATCAACCTGTTGCTATCTGAATACACACGAGTCTTGAGTGATTCTAGAATCGATGATATCTTAAGAGCCAACTTAATTGAGCTGACTGATATATTTGAACTATATTTTGGAAGTGTTTAGGCAGGTTCAGGCTCAATGATGAGATAGCCCAAAGACAAAAGCAAATTGAATATGCAAGAATCTTTAGTGAAATCTAACATTTGAATAAAATCATGAGAGCCATGGTGGAGTGTGTGAGTGTGTGTGTGTGTGTGTGTGTGTGTGAGAGAGAGAGAGAGAGAGAGAGAGAGAGAGAAGCCCATTGCAGGACGTGGAATCGGTATGCTTCCAATTCTGACTGCTGACCAGGAAAGTGTGCTTAATAGTGGGAGAATTCTTTATTTTTTCTTAGAACTATCAGCACTGCACATTAGATGTTCTTGGAGATTTCTTGATCAGTTCAAAAGTTTATGTTGGTGCTTAAAAGGGGCAAATCACTGCATATGCAATGAGAGTGTGCTCCTATTGGGTTTATTAGGGAGGTGAGGGTTCTTGTAGATGTAGTTTGTTTAAGATGTTCCCTACAATAATGTGTTTCTAGGTTCGTAAGCTGGTTTTGGAGATAGTATTTATGTGGGATTGACCTTCATCTTTTACACATATCCTGTACTTTTACTTCATAGCACTTAAATTTTTTTACTGTTTTTCTAGATTTTGCTTTATTTTGATTCTTTTGAAGGTGCCTCTGGCCATCTGATCTAAGTGCTCATGAGAATTTATTGCAATGGTAGATATAGTCTAGCTTATGATAAGAGTGTCCTGCAGTATTTTTTAAGCAGTTGCATTAACTACTACACTATGTGTTATATGGGCTTCTCTCTTCCTGTGATACTAATCACTTTTATGCATATTTGGGTAAATAAATTTGAGTGGTGACATGTCCATTCCTATAACTAGGCTGTATGACCATTAAAATACTGTTAATGTGAACTTTGAAAGCAAGCTCACATTTATTGATGTTGGATCTCGTGTTTATCGTTATCTCATTTTTCAATTAGGAATTTGTTTGCAATGACCTGGATAGCTATTAAGTTATCTTGAATTATGTTCTGTTAATGTGAACTTTGAAAGCAAGCTCACATTTATTGATGTTGGATCTCGTGTTTATCGTTATCTCATTTTTCAATTAGGAATTTGTTTGCAATGACCTGGATAGCTATTAAGTTATCTTGAATTATGTTCTGTCTCTATCTTGTTTGTGGCAATCTGACATGGTTTGTTAAACTGTCACATTGGAAAGCTTTGGTTGCAAGTTAAATGATTGAGGCCTGTGTCTTTCTGCTTTTTAGGTGGAGCAGTTGCATAAAATTTTCAAACTTTGTGGCTCACCTTCTGAAGATTATTGGAGAAAATCAAAGTTGCCTCACGCAACCATTTTTAAGCCCCAACAACCTTATAGACGCTGTGTTGCAGAAACATTTAAGGAATTTCCAGCGCCAGCTTTAGCACTCATGGAGACCTTACTTTCCGTTGACCCCACTGATCGTGGATCTGCAGCTTCTTCCCTCAAGAGTGAGGTATAATTTTTTTAAAAATTATGTTTTATTAAAATTTTAGACATTTATAATCCATGCATGTTAGCAAGCATTTCTATTCTTCCTCTCTCTTTCAGGGGGATGGTGCCATGGGGTGAATGTTGGTAATGAAGATTGATTTTTTGTAAAATGACTTGATTATTTTAGCAAGATGACATGAAATCAATGCTTATATTTAGCTGTTTTCCTTTTTCAATTATTATATTCTTTTTTGACAAATTTTGTCATTGTTGATAAAATATTTAAGGGAAAATGATTTTCATTCAGAGGGTAAGACATATTCTAGTATTGAAAGACAAGTTGCACATATTTTGTTTGACAACTGGGTCAGAACTTTGTTCTTCTATATTTCATTCATTCAGTATAAATTTTAATGGTATTTATGGGCATGATTACTGTATGCCAGGCAGTCTGCTATCATGGTTAATTGTCATGTACTAACATGAGCTTCCGGGTCCGGCTTTTAAAGAGTTTGTGCCAGAGTTTAAATATGAAACTTGAATGCCAAAACTTTGGCTTGTGTAACCACTTGGGTTGTGTTGTATCCCCTGGTGTCTGGGGATACAAGAACAGCAGTGCTTTATTACCTTCTCATCTAAGCCACTATGACTTTGGAAATTTTAATTTGGGACACATCATTTAGAATAGTATTGACAACTTTGTATGCAACTTTCTAAATGGTAGGATGTGCTTCTTTAGTCCTAAATCACATTGTTATTCTTTTCTGTTCTAATGATTTATCAATATTATCTAGTGTCCTTCATTTTTTCTTTTTTTTGTTTTTCAGTTCTTCACAACAAAACCTCTTCCCTGTGATCCTTCGAGCTTGCCAAAGTATCCGCCAAGCAAAGAGTTTGATGCAAAAATGAGGGATGAGGAAGCTAGAAGGTGCATATTGTATATTTAATTACTATAAAATATTAATATTCTTTAGTTTTTTTTTTTTTTGATGGCACTTATGTTAGTTGGAAAATCTCATGCTTCTTAATGAAAACTTTCATTGAACTCTTTGGATACTTATGAGGCATTTACTTCCAACGAAAATAGAGTGGTTTAAGAGGATCATACAAAAACTTGTAATTGCATGTCAGTCCAGATATCAAAAATTTGATCTCTTTGTTCTTCAGCCTATGCTGGACTGCTGTAAACTTGGTGTTTGTTTTTATTGGACGAGTTATTATCATCTTCTTTAGCTGGTTTGCCACTGCTGCCATATTGGCCTGAAATCTTGAGTGGTTATTAAGTTTATATAGGTGATAATAAACTACTTTTGTTTGTATTGGCAGACAAGGAGCAGCAGGAACCAAAGGCCAGAGACCTGAACTTGATAGGAGAGCAACAAGAGAGTCTCGAGCTGTCCCAGCTCCTGATGCTAATGCTGAACTAGTCTTGTCAATGCAGGTAATAGTTTCCGATTCCCTTTTGTTTTTGCTCTAAATGTTTGGTGATGGGCATCCTTAACTAGTATATGCATCTAGATGTTGACCATTATCACAACTCACAAGATCTTTAAGCATAATGACATACAAAAACATCAAATTAAGCCTTTTCTGCTACATGGGGTTGGTATTAAAGCTTAATGACATGGTATTCTAACTTGTTTTAGGTGCTTAGTCCCACTCTAGACATGTTATTAAATTATCCCTCTTTTTAAACATATGGTTGAGATAATTCTTTCCTTGTTTCTTCTTTCATTCAAGGGCAGGCTTTTATAAACTTATAATAAGCATAAATTGAACCCTGAAAGGAATTGAAAACGAAAATAACAAAGGAAGCCGAATCTAACTTCAGATTCTGAAAATCTGAGTAAAATCAAGGTGGGAGAGGAGGGAAGAAATGATAACTAATCGGTTGTAGTGACCTCACTGATTTATGTCAAAGGTGAATGTCTTGTTCTCCGCACAGTTTGAGGGACAGTGCTCAATGCTTATGCTGCTGTAATGACCAATTCAATTGATGCTTTACCATATAACCCAATTAAGCCCAAAGGCATGAAGTGCCTAGGACAACAGTAACAAGAAAATCATGGAGTAAAGTGTGGATTGGTGATCCTCCATTTGGCCATAATGCTTAAAATACTAAAATACCTTTGAACAATCATCATATTAACTGGGTGCGAAGCATAAAACACATTAATGTCCTCCAGTGCTCTCCAGTGACCATTTGCCTCCAGTTCTGAAGGCTGTCACTACTCCATCAGACCAATTTGGATACCTTTCCCCAAAAGTTTTGATAACTTCATTTATTTAGTTTTAGCCAGGAATATAGGCATTTTATAAACAAATGCCTCTTCTATCAGTTTGTAATTTGGTTAGGGCAATTGGAAGTGCATAAATAATCAGCTTATACATGACTTAATCTATTATTTTTTGGCATTTCTATATTCTTTTGCGTCTATGAGATCCAGTTGACTAATAGATTATAAGGGGAGAGAGATTTGGATAGCTATTTGTTAAAAAATTTCAAGTCTTAGTTTTCTTTTCTTCACTTGTGTGCACTGCTATGCTAGGACTGACTTGGTAGTATGCCAACTGAATTGTTTATTGAAGTTTGTTATGATATTGATTTGAGTGATTATTTACTACTAGATGGATTGGATTTAGATATCTAGGTAGGTAATATGATGCTGCTTGATATTACTTAAATAATTTGATATAGCTTGTAATTCTTATTTTATCAAGTTTTCATCTTTTAGAACAGTAACATTAATTTGACATTACTAACATTGCTTTGACACTCCAGAAAAGACATTGTCAATCCAATTCTAAGAGCCGGAGTGAGAAGTTTAATCCTCATCCTGAAGAAGTTGCCTCAGGCTTTCCTATAGATCCACCTAGACCATCACAAGCAGTAGAGTCAAATGCGGATGCACAGGGGTATCATCACAAGAGAGCCTCGCATTCAGGGCCACTGGTTCACCGGGCTGCATGGGCAAAGTCTGGGAAAAACCTGGATGATGCTCCTAAACTTTCAACTGGGGCTGACTTGTCATTGATGTCAGGTTTAGTGGCAGCAAGGAGAAGTAGTCTTGTATCTGAAGATCGCAGAGAAAGATCTGGTTCTTCACAATCAGAAGCTCCAAAAATAATTGCAAGATTTCCTGGGTCTTTTAAAGAGGCCTCAGAATCCTTCATCCAACCGGATCTGAAACATAATGTGCAGCAAAAAGAAGATGGAAGAAGTAACAACAAAGATCCAGTTCTGGTAAGTAGTGAACCTGTTTTCCTGCCTTGATGATTGATTGTCCCGGTCAACTTTGTGCAAAAGAAGAGCCTCACTGTAGTAAAGTGGGCTGTTTGTTATAATTCGATGATTCTTGTATTTTGAGTTTGGTTTTTGCTGTACAACATACTTTTAGGTTTTTCGTTGCTTGCTCATAACTTTTATCCATTTCAAGTATCTGATACGTGCTTCTCAATGATGTTTGTTTCCAGCTTGGTTATGGGTCAAAGGGTCGCAAAATTCACTATTCTGGTCCTTTATTAGTTCCATCAGGCAACATGGATCAGATGCTCAAGGATCATGATCGCCAAATTCAAGAAGCGGTTCGGCGAGCACGCCTTGACAAGGCAAAGATGAGAAAAGTTCAGTTAGAAGGGAACCAAATATCAGCCACTTCATTATTTGTTTCTGGTCGTTGAGCTAAATTTTGTAGACAGCAAATCAAGATGAGCATTGTCTAGACGATCGCTGCAAAAAAATTTGGCTGCTGATTCTCCTGTGAAAAATGATCCGAGTTGTTGGGTGGATTTTTTTGGTATAGTTTGGTGTTTTTAGGATGGCTTGCGGGCATATTTAGCTAAGCTTATAGCTTATTGAGAAATATCTCTCTGATTAATCATGTGTATATCTTTCCACTCGGCAACTGTAATTTGCTCAGATATGGCCCATTCTTGTAGAGCTTATTGTTAGTCAAAAGTTAAATGCAGAGATCTGAGATTATTTCATGTGATGAAAGAAGCAAAATCTAGCTGTGTAGCATTGCCTTTTGTCAAGATAATCGCAGTAGCATTAAGGTTAACCGAAGGCGAAATATAGCTTCGGGGATGTACCTATCTTTGTGCCCCCAGCAACTCTTGTCAGCAGCTATGTATTTGGCGTAATAATGTTCCAGCTCTGTTGTCTTACTATGTATTTACACGTATGTTTCGTATGATATGATGATTAGTTCTATGCTTTTATTGTTGTTTTCTGGACTTGTAAAGTCTAAGCAGCCTTGGAATCCCATTCCGTTCATTCTTCTATTACGGTGCAGCTTGACTTCGATGGCTTTTGTACTTGCAGATTTCTTACGCTTTGTCTTCTTTCTCTTATCAACGGGAGGGGCTTGGAGCTTTTTACAATGCCAAGATCCCTACAAGATCTTTCAACCTCCTTACCTTCTCCATATCCACAAACTTACTGTGGCATACTCTTCATTTTTGGACCCTACATAGGTACTGAACACCTTGGCTCTGTGAACTCCCAACACCCATTGGTGGTTTCTGCTGCATCCATGTTTTTGGTATTGGATATGTTTTGTCCCTGAATGAACAATCTATCTGTTCTTTATTTCCTACCATGCTGGACAACAGGTTTGATCGAACTAGAAAGAAAAAATCGCTGGTCTGGTTGGTTTTGTCCACGACTTAAAGTTGAATGTAACAAAGTCATCAACAAACTATAAAGTATATGAATTGTGAACACAGCCCACAGCCGCAATGGCTCCTTCAGACCTAAAGAAGCCTAAAAGGGTGAACTGATGAATCCATCAGCCAGCATTGGCTCCTTTACTGCAAATCAATGGCTTTGGACTTCATTAATTCAATCTATGGATAACTGCAAAGAAGAACCACTTGGCCCTATTTATTAACTCTATCTACGGCATTGGTTCATTAATTTCCTAGGTCGGCATCATGTTTCATCCGTCTGACTCTGAAGTCATATTTGGCAGCTTCCTTAAATTATTGAGGAATGAGAAAAATGGTTCTAATTGAACAAATTATCCTGTTTTATTCGTAATAAACTTTAAATTCAATGCTTGTCAATGGTTTTCTGGGTTTGGTGACTGAATGATTGTTTGAAGCCTGGTCAAGTGGCTGACTTAGAAATTGGAATAATCTGTAACAAAAAGAATGTTAGGAGGGCATTGGAGGTAGGATTTTGGGGTAGGGTTCAACGTTCAAATCAGCAAAATATAACAGGTGAAGGAAGGTAGATAAATAGAGAAGGTAAGAAAGTAGGTAAACGTATGTGAAATTAAAGGAAAGAGTTCAAAATGAAATACCGGTTATCCAACTTTATCTTTTATAATGAATTAGGTAAAAGTGTGCAAGGAAGGTAGAGAGAAGGACAAGGTAGGAAAGTAAAGAGTTTAAAATGAATTACATGTGATCCAATTCATCTTTTATAATGAATTTATATTGATTTGATCAATGAACTTTTGTGGATGTTGTCAATTGAAATGATTAACTTAATAATCAATGGATGCTGATTTGGTAATAAAAATTTTAATTAAATAATTAAGATACCACAATATCAAGCAAGCCCTAACAATGATCTCAAATTCTATCCTTTCTAATTATGTCTAGGTTTTAAAAGCTACAGTGGTAGTTCAAGATTCACGTTGCTTCAGCTTCAAGGACCATTCATCATACAAAACCATTAGGCAAAAACCCTTGTGAATCTAGTGAAGACTAAAGAAAACATGCTGGAACCTGATTCAAATAAAGAAACGGATGGTTTTGAATGAATTCATGAAGCCTAGAGATGTGAAAATCTAAGGACAAAAGTTAACGAGAGCTTCATGTAAGGAGAAGTTATCAGATAGACCTGAGAAAATCTTTAATGGCAACTTAACCACATCATTCATGCTTGTATCAATAAAAACGTGACAACATTGGTTAAAATAATTGTGGGGATTGGATATTAAGATTGGGCAAGATCCATTTGTTAGAGTTGGCCAAGATTATTGAAAAGTGTGACAAATTTTTTCTTAATTTTTGTGGTTTACCGAGAGTTATTTGATCAAAGTTGCTATTTTTATAACAGTATTTAAAATTTATAGTTGAAATATTTATTCTCCAAATTTAAAATACAATTTGATATCATCACATAATTTATTAATAAACTATTAAACATTTAATTTTAATGACTAAAATTTAATTTTTAATAATTTTGCATATCTAAAAAAAATTATATTTTAAGTATTCAAATATTTAATTTAGTAATAAATATATGATTTTTAATTTTAAAAATTGATTTTAAAAATTTAAATTTTACAAAATTAAATCAATACTTCAATCATGAAAAAAAAAAAGGTAAATATTTCTACACTTTTTGGGATTTAGATAACAAATCTATATAATTAAAATTCAATTATTTTCTATTTGAGGGTTGCTTGTATGCACAAAATTCTATGTACTTAGGACAACCAAATTAATTGTACATTGCATGCAACCAATAATCAAGAAAATGTATCTTTCAGAAAAATAATTAAGAAAAATGCACATTGATGATCAAGGAAAAGCTTGCTCTAATTGGACAAGTGTTAGTGGTTGAAGTTTCTTAATACTTGACAAAATGGAACAAAAACAGGAAAAAATGAAGGAAAAAAACTCAAAATTTGTGGTCCAAAGTTATTTGGTTACTAAATGAGGAAACCAATCAAACAATACATGAGACAAGGGTTGGCAGAACCAAACCTGAAATTTTTTCATTCAGCCCTTGGTCCAAGGCTAGATTGATGCTCTAAATGCTTGGACCATTCCCATTACAGCATGTCTTATCATCAAAGTTTTTGTCTGAAAATAAAAAATAGTGTACTAAAAAATTTTCAAAAATGCTTTTTTAAATATAGGTAGGTAGGTAGGACAATCTCATGACAAATTATATTTCTTGTATTTTTTTGGGATTTTACTCACTTTGTAATTATGATTTAAAATCATGGTTGCCAAAGAAATTTAGATTTTATTAGATAAGAATGATAAAAAGAGATAAGGATAAAAATTTTATTAATTTAATGATTAAAATTTATAATAATATTTTATTTTATAATTTAACCATTAAATTAATAAAATTATTTTATTTTTCTCTCGTTTCATTTTTCACTATGCAAAATAGTAATTTAATAATATTTATCTGGAAGTCCTTATTTTTCCTCCAAAGTTACATTTCTTAGAAGTGGATTTTTTTTTTTGAACAAGTCGGATTCAAATTGTTTACTTTTTCGGATACAAAATTGTTTGCTTTGATAAAGTTTATTTAGCTACTTTAATAAATTTTTTGTATCAATAAAATTTATTGAGTTGATAAAAATTAAAATTTTATTTGTAAAATTCAAATTTGATTCTTGCTAGAGGTAAAGTCTAAAAATTGATAAAAGAAAGATCAAATAATAATTTAAAAAAAAATCAAAGTAATAAATAAATAGAATTTATCACTAAATCACAAGAGAAATAAAAAAGTTTTGGAGGTATCGTGGTCCTTGCTTGCTTCCCTCTAGTTTCGTCTCTTATTCTTGCTATCGATAAACTTTTTTTAATGAATAATTTATAAATTTAATATAATTTTTTACTTAAACCTTCTATATGCTCAATATTGAATGAGATATCTCCTCTTGTTTAAACTTAAAAAAAATAGAAGTTTTTTTATGAGATTTTTTAATTTGAAAAATGTTTAACGTGACAAAATTTCCCAATGCTTGCGATTTTATTAATTATATACTTGAATGAATATGTAAATAATATTTCTAAATAATACTTCACTTTATAAATCATAAATATTAATATCAAAATACCTTATTTCTTGGAATTTTATGATTCTATTTGTGTATAGTTCATGCTCCAATTGGTTGAAAAATCATTCTTTGGAAAAAAAAAAATTTAGGGATACCAATGATAAAACTGAAAACCAATAGGAAACAAATGATTAATCAGGAAACTGTAAGGGTTACCAAATAATTATATTTTCTTTTGGTAACAACCAAATTTGTCCTTAGATTAGATTACAATTACTCTATCACCATGCTGACACCTGTTCTAGAATCTGACCCAACACCAAGTAAGATAACAATTCATTTACAGTTCAAGAGGCCTGCTTTTTGAATAAAATGTCCAAAGGGGTATCTAAAATTTCAACCTTTAAAAGTTATAGTAACAAATTTCCTTGCTTTAAGTTATCCTTTCAGGTTTTCAGGGTTTAAAGAAGAACCACAAGTGTGCTTTCGCTGAACTTTCAACTTGTTTTTTTCTCTTATGGTTTTTTTAATCAATTGTTAGAATCAAAGCTGAGTTTTTCAGCATGATAGGTTACATCATTTTTTTAAAAGATTAAAAATTACTAAAAATGAAAATTTGGGTTGGTTTGTCTGGTTTCAATGATCTCAAAAGGTTTCCTCTTTAAGAAATTCAAGATACCCAAGATCCTCTTTTTCAACACCAAGATAATAATTTTTAATAGCATGGTGTATTCTTTTCCCATACTGAGACTCAGAGACAGAGTCCACAGTATTTTCTTTGTAAAATATTTAATTCCCATTGGACCCACAACATATACAAATTTGACGTTTTTAGCCTGTTGCATGAGGGCAAAAAGGCTTGAGGTTATGGTAAAGCCACGTAGTCCAATTGGAATAAAGAGATAATGAAGTGCACAAAAAGAGCGGCTTTTTATTTTATTTTTAATGTTGAAATTCAAATGGTCTGTGATTTCTGTTGGGAAGGTTTTGTTTTGTTTTTTGTTTCTTGTTTTTTTTTTTGGTTATATTGTGGCAATTTTGTGAGGTTGAGAATCTTTAGTGTCAACTAAAAAGTACTTCTTTTTGCTGTGTGGTTCAGTTTACAGGTTGGTCTAGCAGGAACAGAAGAACATCCTTTCATGGTGTTAACTGGTACCTCTCTCTTTCTCTCTCTTCCTTTGGTTTTTTTTTTTTTTAAACGTACACTAAATATTTAAATATATATAGTTTTGTTTGTTGTTTGATGTTTGGTGTGATGTGAAGGTGATTTTATGTTTATTACTGGGTCTTTTGTGTTTTGGCTGTTGGTTTAGGTTGTGTTATTCTTTTTTTCTTTTCTGATTGGCGGTGTAAGTGGTGGTGGGGTTGGTGATAGCTTCTCTAATGATAATTGTGGTGTGCAAAGGTTATTGATTTTGGCTCCTTGTGTTTACAGGGAATTGAGTTTGCACTTGTTGATGGGAA